CAGATAACATTCCACACAATACTCCCCCTTTTTGAAATATTATCTTCCTTAGCTTCCACGACATTGCACTCCTACATCCCTGACATTTTATTTTCAATTCTCCTTTGCCAAGGATGTATGTTCCTCAACTTCTAAAATCTGGATTAATCTCAGAGCCTTCTCCTAGGCTCCTGTCTTGTCTATAGTATGGCGGGAGATGCTATCAGGCCACCGAACTCATCCTCCCCTTAACTACAGTCTGGCACATAACTGGCCCACTATTTTTCATTTCCCAGAAGCCTTTGCAGTTATCTATGACCATATGACTAGCTCTCACCAACAGAATATGAATAGAAATGGAATGTGCAATTTTCTGGCCAAAACTTCATTCCTTTATACTTTTTCCCCTTACCATGGGTGAGAGGATAAAGGACAGACAGAAGAGGCTATGACCTGCCTTTGATGAAACAGCCCACAATCCAAGGGAAAGAGAAATAACAAGATGGGAAGAAAACGATCCTTTAATCATCGTGAAGCAAAGACACCCAATGACCAGGAACCTGGACTGTTACACAAGAGAAAAATAAAGGTCTATCTTTAGTGTCTCTTTGTTTTGGTAGCTTAGCTGTTCAACCTAATTCATATACAGTAGGTCCTTGGGTTACGTTGGAGGTCCGTTCCTATGGCGCGACATAACGCGATTTTTGCTGTAAGTCAGAACCCACCTACATAAGCACCTACGTCACTCACATGGAGCACAGACACAGCAGTAATAAAGTGAAACGGTAAAAAAAAAATTAAAGGAAAGATAACAATTCCTGACCTTTACTTGTGGTAAATAAGTAATAAAAAATATAAAGCACATACGTCGAAATGACAGACCTTTTTTTTTTAATAAGTAAATTGGAGATGGCAACGTAACCACGAAATGACATACATCGAGTCCAATATAACCCAAGGACTATCTGTATTATATGTAGTTCTTAGGTCAGTGATGGCGAACCTATGACACGCGTGTCAGAGGTGACACGCAAACTCATTTTTTGGTTGATTTTTCTTTGTTAAATGGCATTTAAATATATAAAATAAATATCAAAAATATAAATCTTTGTTTTACTATGGTTGCAAATATCAAAAAATTTCTATATGTGACACGGCACCAGAGTTAAGTTAGGGTTTTTCAAAATGCTGGCATGCCGAGCTCAAAAGGTTCGCCATCACTGCCTTAGGTGATTTCATATAGTTCCATGTCTTTATCATTTATGCATAGTACTTCTAAATCCACATCCAGATCTTGAGTTGTAACTCCTTCCAGGACTACAAACTTGTACATCCAACAGCTTCGGTGACATATGCATATGGATGTCCGAAAGTTATGGCAAGCTCACAATAGCCAAAAGAGAATTCCTGATTCCTTTTACTCCAAACTCTGAGCCCAAAGCTTTTCCAATTTTTTCTTCACTCCACTCACTTATTCAAGTGCTATCTCTACCTCTAAAACCTACCCCATTCCCTTCCTCTCCAAGTGAGTTCCAACCTTCTCTCTGGTGCTTGAACACAGGGAACTCATTCCTGCCTCAGGACATTTGTACTACCAGTGCTCTCTAGCTAGAATGTAGTTCCTTTTATCTTTAAAAGGCTGGCTCTCTCCTCATTCAGATCTTAGTTAAATACCATTTTGTCAGACAAGTTGTCCCTTTAATGTAAACTGTTATCCTGGGTCTGCTCCCACATCAGTTCAAATTCCCTGCACAGCACCTATTGCTACCTGATATTTCTCTTATTTTTTTATTCACTTATTCAACAAATATTTACTAAATTCCTAACTATATTCCAGGCACTGACCTAGACACAGATACAACCATAAAAATAAAAAATAAAAAGTCGGCTTGGATGTACATTCTAATAAAATACATAGTAAAGCAGATGGTGATAAATGCTATAGAGAAAAAATAAAGTAGGGCAAGGGGATGGGAGTGCAGGGCCAGTGACTGCAATGTTAAGTAGGATGGCCAATGAAAGCTTCACTCAGATGACAACTGATCAAAAACCTGAGAGATAAGGAAGCAAAATAGGTAGGTATCTGTGAGTTGTTTCCAGCAGAGAGAACAAGTGCAAAGGCACTGAGGTGGGAATACACTGGACAAGGAGGGCAATATAAATGGAAGAGTGATGGAGGAGAGCAGGAGATGAACCTAATGAGGAAATGGGACCTAGATTATGGAAGCCACTAGAGGAATCTGAACAGATATTTTGAAAATATACCATAGGGGTCAACGATGAAAGAAAGGAAACCAAATCGTAAGCAAAATAATGCTGCTTCCTCAATTTTCACAAAACCAGCCTCCTCGTGACATTTAAATGGAGATTGGAATGGCATCCTCTCAGAGGACTTCCTTAACCACCCAACCTAAATAGAGATGACTGCCTAGACGAGGGTGGTGAGAAGTGGCTGAATTTGGATATGTCTTGGGGTATACCTAATAGATTTGCTAATAAATTAAATAGAGTAGGAGTGAAAGAGAGGTCTACAAATGTACTAAAGTTTAGCCTGAGCAATGAAAAGGCCAGAAATGACATTTATTGAAATGAGAAAAGCAGATGAACAGGTTTAGAACAACTATATATGGAGTTAAGTTTTAGATATAGTAATTTAAAGATGTATCTAATTATATATATCAACAGTAATAACTAACAATAGTCTATTAATTAGATATCTATTATGCACAGGTATAAAGTGGACTGACAACAGATTAGGCCAGTCTGAATTCAGTGGAGGTGTAAATTTGGGAATCATCAGCATATGAGTAATATTTAAAAATGGTATTTAAAAACTGGATGAGAGTCCTAAATAAATAAGACCATCTCAACTTCCATTCTCGTCACATTCAGTCTCCAAAATATATCTAGAATAATCTTTTTAAAACATAAAATAAGATCAAGTCACTCCTCTTTAAAATTTTAAAAATATTGTCTCTGCACTTGGAATAAAACCTGCACATGGCCTATAAAGCTCTGAATCATCTGACTCGTCTCCTTCTCTAAGCTTAAGTCACATGGCCTTTCTTTACTTTTTTTTTTTTTTTAATATATTTTATTGATTTTTTACAGAGAGGAAGGGAGAGAGATAGAGAGTTAGAAACATCGATGAGAGAGAAACATCGATCAGCTGCCTCCTGCACATCTCCCACTGGGGATGTGCCCGCAACCCAGGTACATGCCCTTGACCGGAATCGAACCTGGGACCCCTCAGTCCGCAGATCGACGCTCTATCCACTGAGCCAAACCGGTTTTGGCCCTTTCTTTACTTTCTTGAAGGGCACCAAATTTCCTCGCCTCCCCACCTTCGAACATGCTATTCTATGCCTGGAATGCTATCCCCTGGCCTCTACACACGACCTCCTGCTGGTCCCTCAGCTCTAAATTTCAAGGCCACCTGCGGAGGCCTTTCTCTAACACCCAGCCTAAATGTTTCTTCAGTCAAGTTACCACTTTCAAAACACTGTACTCAACTGAGAGAGAGAGCGATTGACTGTGTACTCTCTCAGTTAACGAAAGCCCCATGGGTGCAGGGACTCTGTCTTCTTCAGTGCTCTACATCGAGGGCCTAGCACAGTGCCTGGCAAACAGTATTTGTTGAATAGAGACAACAGTCCATTGTGCAACACGCAATTTGTCTCACTATACATAAAATGCTCCCCCACCCCCACCCCCACCCCCACCCCCGGTACAAATAAATGACAAAAACAACCACTTCAAAACTGTCAAACAGCCGTAGCTGGTTTGGCTCAGTGGATAGAGTGTGGGTGGGACTGTGGACTGAAGGGTCGCGGGTTGATTCTGGTCAAGGGCCCATGCCCGGGTTGTTGGCCTGATCCCCAGTAGGGGGCGTGCAGGAGAGGCAGCCGATCAATGATTCTCTCTTATCATTGATGTTTCTCTCTCTCTCCCTTCCTCTCTGAAATCAATAAAAATTTTAAAAATTTAAAAACAAACACACCTGTCAAACAAATTACACACTTATTAACGGAAAGGTACCTTACTTCCTTGTACCACTTTACTGGGTTTCATTTATTCAGCAGTGTTTTCATTCATTCACCAAACTTTGTATGCACTTAAAAGGAATTCTTTAATTCATAGTCACAGTAGAATGAAGCCTTTAGGGAACAACTAATTATCAGTTGACAGAGAAGTAGCTACACAGTTAGTAGGCAGAGCTGTCAGGTGAACCGAAGTCCCTGATTTAGTTGAGTGTTTGTCCAAAACCAGTTTTGATCTGGTACATTTTCTCTCAAGCAGCAAGAATTTATACAAGAACCACTGTCACCTCAAGACACTTGTTCAGTTTGGACATGTACGTTTTAAATAAAATGCAACAATCCAGCATACACACACAAAATCATGCTGCCTCTACTGAAAACAGGGCATCTACGATTAAACTTGAAAATCAGAAATATAAGTATTTTGTTTATGAAGTTAGCGTTCCAGTAGTAAACTTGCTAGGTCGTCAAAAGGAGCAGTCTTCTTCATTTGGGAACCTTTAGCAATTAGTAATGTCATTTTAGGAAAAGCAGGACCTCCTCCGCGCAAAAAAATATGCAAACTGGAAAGAAGCACTAGTTGAAAATTTTTTATATGTTGCTTTTAGACATAAAGCTCGCAATATTCTGAAGTCAGGGACTTCCGCAACAATCTACGAAAGGAATTTCCTTTTTCTTGATCCACAGTGTAAATACACTCAGGTACGCACACGCACCCGAAAAGCGATTCTTCCGCGAACTGTCATTAACTTGCATACGTTTCCGCAAACATTGTGGACCAATTTCCAAAAGTGGGCAATTTCCCGGTGACCTCGCGGAGGAGGCCGCCTCCCCCTCCCCGCGGCCCAGAGCACAGCGAGGCACGCACCGGCGTCTGCGCGGAGGCCCACGGCCTCGCTGCCCCGCAGGAAGCCCCCGCAGACCCACCGCCCGCCGCCGCCCGAGGCCGCCCTGGTTCTCCGCCCGCGCCCCCTCAGCTACCTTTCCGCCGGAAGAAGGACATGGCGGGGCCAGGGTCGGGGCGGAGGGCGCGGGGGGACTGTCGCGGGGACGGCCCAGCTCCCCTCATTCAGCCACCGGCCCTGACTTCCGGCCAGCAGAAGCCGCCGCACTAGCCCGAAAAGAGACCCTTCCTCCAGACGTGGGCCCCGCCGCCTCCTCGCGACGCCCAGGCACCTCCTATCGCCATATTATCAACCAGCCGCCGGCCGGAGTTCCGGTCCTTCCCCGCGCGAGGCTTCACGGGAGGCGCCGCGCGCCGGCCCCGCCCCGCGCGCCGGCCCCGCCCCGCGCGCCGGCCCCGCCCCGCGCGCCGGCCCCGCCCCGCGCGCCGGCCCCGCCCCGCGCGCCGGCCCCGCCCCGCGCGCCGGCCCCGCCCCGCGCGCCGGCCCCGCCCCGCGCGCCGGCCCCGCCCCGCGCGCCGGCCCCGCCCCGCGCACCTCCTCCCGAAGGGCGGATACCCAGCTCGCACCCGAGCTCCCGCCCGGCTCGGCGCCTGGGCGGCCCAGGCCCGCTCTTCCCCAGGCGCTGAGCCCGCCCGCCGTCTGCGGCCGCGTCTCCCAGTGAGCGCGCCCGGCTCGGCGGAGCGGGGTGGCCGCCGCAGCGTCGGCATCGGGCCTGGGCACCTTCTCTCAGCGAGCCCTAAAGCAGGGCTAATAGTCCCGGCTCAGCCCCTCCCGCTTCTCCGGATTTGGCTGAACGGCGATGGCGGGCAAGAGCAGCTGCACCCGGACCGCCTTCCCGTGCTCTCCCGGGGAGCCGACCCCCACCCCACCCGCCGCGGGCTGGAGGCCATGGGTGTTCCGGGTGGAGACTGGGAGGCATAACCTGTTTTAAGCGGCTCCACTGGCACCTCCGTCTGTGACCTTGGTGATGAGGAAGGATGGACTTGCCGTATTCTCAGAATGCGGGCTCTGCGACAGCTGAGATTTGAAAGGCTCCTAAAGCGAAAGCCTCGCCATTATTGAGCCGGCCAACTCCAGTGAGCCATCCTTCAAGCGCTGTTCAGATACCATTTTCCTGTGAATCTGATGACAGGCCATTTATCAGAAGCCAGAGTGAAACAAGCCTCCCCGCTGCTAGTGCCCTCACCACCCCATGAACTCAGGGACTGGGTGATTGTTGTAACCTTGAGCTCCTGCTGCAAAGAGCTGGGGAATCATAGCAGCTCAGTAAATGTTGAGTGGGTTTTTTAAATTTATGAAGTCCATCAGGTGACGGATAGGGAAACAGGTCCAGAGAGAAGAGGCAACTCGGCTATGATTATGCAGTGGGTCAGCATTGAGCCTGTAACTAGAGCTCAGGCTCTTGTATTCTTCAGTATGTGGGTCCTTCACGTCCTCTGTTAAGTTTAATCCTAAGTATTTTATTCTTTTTTGTTGCAATTGCAAAAGGAATTTTTTTTTTCTTTTTCTGAAGTTTCATTGTTAATATAAAGGAATACAGTGGATTTTTGTACATTGATATTGTATCCTGCATCTTTGCTGTATTTGTTTATTGTTTCTAACAGGGTGTTGGTAGAGTCTTTAGAGTTTTCTGTATATAGAATCATGTCACCTGGAAAAAGTGACACTTTTATTTCTTAATCCCCTGTTTGGATGCCTTTTATTTCTTTCTCTTGCCTGATTGCTCTGGCTAGAACTTCCAGCACTATGTTGAATAAGACTAGTGAGAATGGGCATCCTTATCCTCTTCCTGATTTTAGAGGAAAAGCTTTCAGTTTTTCACCATTGAGTATGACATTGGCTGAGAGTTTGTCATACATGTGGCCTTTATTATGCTGAGTACTTTCCTTCTGTACCCATGTTATTGTTTTAACCATAAATGGATGATGTGTTTTACCAAATGCTTTTTCCTTTGTCCTTTGTTTTGTTAATGTGGTGTATTACATTGATTAATTTGTGTGGGTTAAACCATCCTTTTGCCCCTAGAATAACGGCACTTGATCATGATGTATTTTTTTAAATGTATTGTTGTATTCAAGTTGCTGGTATTTTGTTTAGGATTTTTACATCTGTATTCATCAGAGATATTGGTCTGTAGTTTTCTTTTTTTAGTGTTATCCTGGCCAGGTTTTGGTATCTGGTTTATGTTGAGCACATAAAATGTGTTAGGAAGTATTACCCCTTCTTCAATTTTTTTAGTTTGATTAGGATAGGTATCAAATCTCTCAAACAAGCAGCATCTGGCATCAGCTCATCCCATTCCTCTCAATAAGAGGCCAAGGCCAGGCACTAGCACCAGCCTGCCTTGTTTCACAGGTGAACCTCACCTGGACACTTCCAAGCCCAATACAAATAGCAGCCATCTTCAGATCTCTCTGTAGCTCCTGCTGGGTGGCCCCAGGCAGTGGCTGACTTTGCACCTCCCAGGGAGCCCCAGAGTCAGTGCACCAGGTGGACAGCTCAGACCTCACCAGATTACAACTCTATACATCCACAAGTGACATGCTCAAGGGGAAGAATCAGTGAGCACCAAAGCCCCACTGAAGCAAGTCCTGCTCCATAGGGGTGTCTTACACTACAGATCTTCCACTGTAGTCAAAGTTCTACAGCCAATTGGCCTGGAGGTCAATTCCTCCCAGTGATGCCAACAGCCATCAAGGCTCAACTACAACAAGACTGTGCACACAGCCCACATAGCTGTGTACCTAGAGTGCCCAGCTCAGGTGACGGGGAGGCTGAGAAACTGAGTACTACAGGACACCTACTACAAAGTCCACTCTGCCAATTCCAGGAGACATGGCAGCTCTCTCTAATACCTAGAAACAAACATGGGAAGCAGCCAAAATGTGGAGACAATAAAACATGTCACAAACGAGAAAAAATGGAAGCAAGCAAACTACTGGATTCAGAGTTCAAAACAATGGTTATAAGGATACTCACAGATCTTAATGAGAGCTTTAAGGAACTTAGTGAGACTTTCAAAAATCTTAGCAAGAATTTCAAAGACATGAAAAAGGACCAGTCAGAAATTAAACATACACTGACTGAAATAAAGAATACTTCATAGGGATTAAACGCTAGAGTAGAAGATTCTGAGAATGAAATAAATGATTTAGAATATGAGGAAGTAAAAACACCCAATCAGAAGAGCAAAAAGAAAAAAGAATGCAAAAATATGAAGATAGTGTAAGGAGCCTCTGCAACAATTTCAAGTGTACCAACATTTACATCATAGGGGTGCCAGAAGGAGAAAAGAGAGAGCAAGATATTGAAAACCTATTTGAAGAAATAATGATGGAAAACTTCCCCACCTGGTGAAAGAAATAGACTTACAAGTCCAGGAAATGCAGAGAGTTCCTGTGGGAGTCATATCAGAGTTGCTGGATGCTCAAGGCCAATCTGAACATGGGAATCTTTTTTAAAAATATATATTTTTTAATTGAATTTTTACAGAGAGGAAGGGATAGAGAGTTAGAAACATCGATGAGGGAGAAACATCAACCAGCTGCCTCCTGCACACTCCCTACTGGGGATGTGCCCAAAACCAAGGTACATGCCCTTGACCGGAATCGAACCTGGGACCTTTCAGTCCGCAGGCCGATGCTCTATCCACTGAGCCAAACTGGTTAGGGCTGAGCATGGAAATCTTAATCAGAGTGTCCAAGGACTATGCAAGTGCAAGGACACAGCAATCTCACAGTACACTGTGTCCTTCTATAACCCAAATATGATGTTACCATTTGGCAAGATGCCTCTTTTGTCTAAATAGTACACTACATGTTACTGACTAGCCAGTGTGCTAGAGAGAGGGCTCAAGGGAGCTCAGTATGACTACTAAGGCTACAGAGTGGGAGAGAGCTCAGATGCAGCTACTATGAGAGGCTATAGGTCTAGAAGCAGCACACAGCTGCTCAGATAATGGCTATGAGTACAGAGGCTATGGCTTTGTGAGAAAGATGTGTTTATTTATCAGCTAGTGTGTGGCTGCCTGTATAGAACTGTTGTGAAGAACTGTTTTGTTTAGTGGCTCCTTATTAGCAATGGCCACTGGCTTCTGCAATAAAGACTTTCTTATACACCTACAACTTCTCAAGGCTTCTCCATCTGTTACCCGGTGTTCAAGGAGGTCCAGCCCCTGGGAGAAGGCTCGGATCCAACAGTCCCAAACAAGAGAAATCCAAAGAGGCCCATACCAAGACACACATAATTAAAATGCCAACGATTAAAGACAAAGAGAGAATCTAAAAGCAGCAAGAGAAAAGCAGTTAGTTACCTACAAGCGAGCACCCATGTGACTGTCAGATTTCTCAACAGAAACTTTTCAGGACAGAAGGGAGTGGCAAGAAATACACAAAATAATGAAAAGCAAGAACCTACAACCAAGATTATTCTACCCAGCAAAGCTATCATTTAGAATTGAAGGTCAGATAAAGAGCTTCACAGACAAGAAAAAGCTAAAGGAGTTTGTTACCACCATACCAGCATAACAAGCAATGTTAAAGGGGAAGAAGAAGAAGGAGAAGGAGAAGGAGAAGAAGAAACAATAAAATAGCAATAAACACATATCTTTCAACAATTGAGTCTAAAAATAAAAAAAATAAATCTAATGAACAAAATAAACTAATGAATAAAATAGAAGCAGAGGCATAGAAACATGGAATAGACTGATGAATCTCAGAGGGAAGGGAGGCGGGAAGAGATCAACCAAAGATGTTATATGCATAGATGCATTATCTATGGACACAGACAATAGGGTAGTGAAGGCCTGGGGCAGGACAGGAACTGGCTGGTGGGGGGCAGTGCAGGGAAAAGAGGGACATCGATAATACTCTCAACAATAAAGATTAAAAAGAGCCCTGACCGGTTTGCCTCAGTGGATAGATCGTTGGCCTGCGGACTCAAGGGTCCCAGGTTCGATTCCAATCAAGGGCATGTACCTTGGATGCGGGCACATCCCCAGTAGGGGGCGTGCAGGAGGCAGCTGATCGATGTTTCTAACTTTCTATCCCTCTCCCATCCTCTCTGTAAAAAATCAATAAAATATATTTTAAAAAGATTAAAAAGAGAAGAGATCATAAATATGAGCAATAAAATGGCCATAAATACATATCTATCGGCAATTGAATCTAAAAATCAAAATAAATGAAAAGGAATCTTATGAACAAAATAAACTGATGGATAAAATAGAACCGGTGGCATGGAAACATGGAACAGACTGATGAATCTCAGAGGGAAGTGGGGGAGGGTGGGAAGTGATTAACTGTTGTAATGTACCCCGCGAATCACA